CTATTCTATTCTATTCTATTCTATTCTATTCTATTCTATTCTATTCTGTACCATACCATATTATATTTTCTTTCCTCCCTTGTTTATATGTCTTCTCTAGGCCTACATAACTCTCAAATTCACTTTGATTCTCCTTCCTAGATTCACAAACTTGCTGGTTATTTCTGCTATCACTTCTGATTCACTTTCAGCCCCTTAATTGTCACCTCTGTTCCCCATCTTTCCAAATAGTACACCATGTCCCAGTTGTAAAATGCCTTCTATATAATTGATGAGATTTCTATAAGCACTATTCCATCTTTGAGCTACACATGGTCTGAGTGGCCATGTCTGGCTCACATCAACCTTGACATGGATCTTGTATATATAGATAAGAGTGATGAGTAGGCCATATTGAGAGCTGGTGGACGGCAGGGCAGGAGCAGCTAAGTTCCACGCTCCAATATCATTGGAAGAGTTAAGTCAAAGAACGGAGATCTAGGTATATGTTTAACAGGTGTAAAACATTGCTGCCCTGTTATTAGTCTATATCTACATCAGAAAATCCAGACCCAAAGCAACTTTCTCAAACAAAAGGTTACGCAAAGTAAAAAATATCATAGACTCATGTTTGGAAGATGTTTGGGGAGTGATAAATCCAACTCCAATAGGCTAATGGGAGCAGTCTTCTGCTCAAAGTTCTCAGATCTCCAACTGCCTGAATGCTACAGATCTAGAAATAGATGCGCCTTTCAGTCCACGTTGTGTATGGGAGCAGCAGGGAGACATGGAATGGCAGAAATGAGGAAGGGGAGAAAATTGTGTGTGGTTTGAGGCTTTAAATTTGCTTGATGGGAAACTCATTGAACCGAACTGAGTATCTAACTATAACTAGGTTAAGCTTCCTCAGGATATGGAAATAATTCAAAATAATATTAGAGATTAAGTAATATAATGTTAAAATATAGTTACAGCCACAGTTCTGTATTTGCAGGGTGATAGTTTGTAAAATGTAGAGCTACTATGAGCATGGACAGCAATGTGAGATCTCGTTAGACTTTCTGTTCCTGAATTAGGGTGATGATACTATATTGGATACTATATTCCAATATTTACAGAGTTGAATTTATTGTTTTTTTAAAAGTAGCGTCCTGGGTTCTAATAGTTTTAGATATTGAGTTTAATAGGTCAATGTTTTGCTTAGAAAACAAATAATATACTGAGTAGACACCACAGGTCCATAAGGAACTCACTATGCAACTTGAAGCAATCTTTAATTACTGGACTAAGTGTGTAACAGCATTCATTTCACTTATACTGGGGCTGAGCCTTGTATTTTTCTCACTTTTTTTTTTCCTTTTTTTTTTTCTCACTTTTAATCCTGAGAAAACAGTGTATGTCAGAATGGTGAGTAATCCAACTTGAGTGGCTTTTGAGTCATTAGGAGACATTTCCAGAGAGGCCATGAAGCCCCACCCTAGACGCGGTGTCACCTTCCGGTGAGGGAAACCTAAGACTACGTAAGATGGAGAGCGCCAGCTGAGCACCTTCCTCTCTCTTCTCTTCCTGACTGTGCGTGCACTGTGACTGGCCACCTTCTCTGCCATGGCGGGCTTCGTTCTCAGGCTGTAAGCGGGGATAAATCCTTTCTCCTCCAAGTTGCTTCTTGTCATGTATTTGGTCTCGTTACACAAAAGTAACTAACAGGTCAGAAAGGGGCATGTTCTTTGGAATAAACCCTTTTTACTCCTTCACAGGAGTGTGCTTTGGAGTCGCGGGAACTTTTCAAGATGAGAACATGGAACCCTTACCCCTTACCTTCACACCAAGGGTTGAAGAGAATGTATGTATCTGTCTCTGGGTTTCTGCGGGTGCGCAGGATGCCATACGGTGTCCAGACTGCAACATACATGCGGAATTTCCCCACGATGCATTCCGGGGAAGACTGGATGGAAAGCCGCACAGACCTGTCTTCGTTCATGATAACCTTGGCCCCCCACTTTTTGCTTTGCAGTTCCCTCACTACAGGCACCGGGATGTAGGTGCCCTTGTTCTCCTGAGGGTAGCGACCTGTGAGAAAAAAGAACGGATGGGGATGAGAAGATTTCCCACCAGGGCCCAGAGAAGCTTGTGGAGACTGTAGCTCCAACCAAGGACCATGCATAGACTGGACCGAGGCCCCCTACACAATTATAGACTATGGGCAGCTCAGGCTTCATGTGAATATCCTAGTAAGGGGGTCGGGGGCTGTATCTGACATGTACCTGCTTTTTGATCATTTACCCATGGTAGGAATGCCTCTCCAGGCCACAGGGGAAGAGGACATGTTCAGTCTTGATGCATGTGTGTGTTGGGGGATGTCCTCTTTTAAGGAAGGGAAGAAGAAGAGAGGGTGGCTCCGGGAAGAGAGGAGAGAGGGGGCTACAATCGTGTTGTAACATGAATAAGGAAATTAATTAATTAAAAAAAAGAAAAGAAACAAAAGGTTTCTCAGACTTCTTGTTCCAACTCCGTAATCGTGTGGCAGAAGAAGGAAAATGCAATCAGCCTTGTAGTTCTAGAGCAGGTATGAATTTCACTTCTGCTGCCAAAGGGTGTGATAGTAGCTGATTTTCTTAATTTCTTCAGGGCTCTGATTTACCGTGACTACTAAAAAATTTATACAGATAACACTTCTTGGGAAGATTTTGTTGTTGTTGCTGGTTGATAGTTCAGCCTGCTTTCTATCACTGATCATATAATAGTACAGGCTGGGTAATTTACTTGCAAAGAAAAGAAGTTTCCTTTGGGTCACATCAATGACCTCTTGCTTCAGAATCCTGAACAGCTTTGGGCATCACAAGGACGCCCTTTTTCTCTTGTTATGAAGTCACTAGTGTTTAACCTTAAGGGTAGTTCTGGATGATTCTGTCTAGTCCTGAATATACTCCCAAAGGCTCCCACACTCAGATTACAGGTTTCAGCCCTTGTAATACCTCATAACAGAGATGAAATTGTAACATGCATTTGGGAGAAGACACTATATCTAAGCCACACCATCAGTTAGACAATGAACTAAAACCAGATGTAGAAATATCAATTTGAACATAAAACACAGCTTATACACTATCGTGGGGCTACTGGGCCCTGAAATTTTACTGTAAAAAGTTACAATAGTTTTTTTAACAAACACTTTAAAATGGGAGTACTATTAACATAGAGCATTGTTTTTAGGATCAGAGGCCAATATTTTTTCTTTATTCTAAAATCATTGCATTTGTTATGCTATCACCTAATGGGGCCACCCTTCCAAGCTATTCATATGCAGCCCTTTTTAGATTCAACCTAAGCAAGTGCTCTCTGCCAAATCCCTGATGCCACAGACGAGTTGAGTTTGAATCTTGGCTCTGCTACTTCTCACTCTGGCAAACTCCAACCTTACAGATTCTTATTCAGTCTTGTCTTTATCTCCATCGATAAGTTGAACTAATAGGGATAATACTAACAAGTTCACTGGAAGACAAAAATAAAACAGTACATTAAAATGCTCTATACTGAGTGGCATCCCATGGTTGTTTGTTTGTTTGTGTGTTTGGCTGCTTGTTGTTGTTTTTTAATTTTGGTACGGTCTCACTAAGTCTCTTAGACTGCTTTTGAATTCAATCTAAAGCCCAGAAGAGCCTTGAAATTGCAAATTGTCCTGCCTAAGTCTCTCTTGAGTAACTTGTTCCATCAGCCCAGGTCTAAGCAAAATCCTTTGTGCATAATTTATCATGTATAACAAACATGTTAAAATCTTGAACTATCATTTTAACTGAACATTAAACAGGGGGTCATTTTGTAATATTTCCAGGCTCATCATAGATTATGCATAAATTATCTCAGTGCATATGCTACTGCTCTTATTAATCCCATTTGGGGTCAAATTCTTATTGCATGGTCTTTAACCTTGAAACTAAATTCCCCTTGATTTTCTAAGCTAAAAATAGAAAGTTAACCTCACATAATTCCTGAACTCATTGGCCTATAATTTAATTTATGGTATAATTTGACACAAAGATTAATTTCATAGCTGTTTTGTTTTTGTTTTTGTTTTTGTTTTTGCAAATATTTTGTTTTTCTTGACTTGTAAAAGGATGCATACCTAGTAAGTTTGTAAATTATTTGGATTGTAAGCAAACAGAAATCTTCAAGAGCAAAATGCATTCACTTCAATGGTTGCATACATAATATGTAAGAAACTACACAAACAAAGCTAACCTCACCTTCTCTAGTGATCCTGGTCTCAGCAGAGTCTTCTGATAGGAATATATCAGAGCACTCAAAGGGAAGTAGTTTCCCAGGCTACTTCTGTGTAATGATATAAGGTTGCTTAATTTTACTAAAAATGATTTATATAGGAGATGTTATACAGGGAGAAAAAAAATTCTGTGTGTCGTGAGTATCAGTTAATCACAGTTCAGAACAAGTATTACAAATACTGATCATGATTCAATAAAGACTCGCACATGGCTCTTTGCCAAGAAGCCACAATCTGAGTATTGCAGATTTTGTCTAAATAGAGGATGTTCTTAGGAATACACTAGCTCTGCCTCTAAGGAGTTTCTGCATCAATCCACCCTCAAGAGTGCTTTTATTCCAAATCACTCTTGTCTCTCTTCTCTTGCCCCTCACTGCCACCAACCTTCGTTTTTCTGTGCATCCCTCTTCCCTGTGCATGCTAGGATGGTGGGGGTGAAGTTGTTCTCTTCTCCATAGGCCTTGCTACTCTCCAGAGACTCCGTAGCTGCCTTTAGACATAGTGTGGACATTAGAGGCAATCTTTTCAGTGGATGTGATCTGTAGCTCAGTTACTAGAGTGCTTCCAGAAGCTGATGTCACCAAATCCCTTTCAGTACAGATTGTATTCATTCATTTATTTGTTTGTTTATTAGCTTTTGGTTTTTTGAGACAGGGTTTCTCTGTGTAGCCTTGGCTGTCCTGGACTTGTTTTTATAGACCAGGCTGGCCTCAAACTCACAGAGATCCACCTGCCTCTGCCTCCCAGGGTGCTGGGATTACAGGTGAGCACCACTGAACTCAGTGCTCACCCATGATTTTAAATGTGTGACATTTGAAAGGGCTTTGAAATCTATAATCTATCAGACAAGCCTGATTGGCAAGATGTGCTCATTTCTGCTATAGTGGCACAACTATTATGAGAGTAACCAAATGCACTATGATTGAATTCAAGACACCTTCCATGGGAGGGAATATATGCTCATGAACCTGGGTGAAAAGCCATGGTAAGGGAAATCATGGGCTATATTACAGAACTGAGTATTGTAGAGCAAAAGTGCCATAACGCCAATCTTCTCTTTTAGACATTTATGCCTTCACCCGCTGATAAGTGCTACTCTCAGCCTTAATGTGAGAAGTCTCTCTTTTTGGTGAACACAGTGGTTAATGCAGAGATTCATGAATGAACAAGGTAGGTGCTGAGAATAAGTGAGAGATGGGTGTTTAACCTTAGACAAGTCATTTACACCATCTTCTCTAGGGCTCAGAAAGCACTGTGGAGGAAAGGACAGAAAGGATGCAAGAACCAGAAAATAGGAAAAAAGTCTTTGAAATGACATTTTTGGGGGGCCAAGACACAGCCATTGCAATCAGTAAATCACAGCATCTGTGAATGCCTGCACCATGTCTGGGCATCAACGAGCCCGGCTATAGTCAGGCAAGGATGTAACTTAACCAGATAGAAGGGTAAATAAAGATCAGGCCTTTGTCATTTGCTCTGAAGACTGTTCTCAACATTCTTACTGCCTTCATGGAACAGGTGAAAGGCACTAGGAGAAACAGGGGGATATATAGGAAGCAAAAGGAAGAACAAAGCTGCAAAACTGGAAGAAATAGGAGGGAAAGGACAAAGAGCCAATTTGTGGTGGTGGGTAACAGATGTGTGAGCCAGAAGTCTGAATCAAAGGGATGAGAAGGGAAAGCTGGCAGAGAGGAAGGCACTGGGAGGCTTGAGCTGATGCAGATTTGGTTTGAGTTCTAAAGTAGGATTAGGCACTGAAGGGGGAAGGGAGAAGGCTGAGGAGCCTCATTGACCTGGTAAGTCAAGAGGCTGCAGAGCAACATCTAAAAATGTAAGCAACTGCCAGTCATTATGTGAGCTCTAAAGGGAGGCAAAAACAACCCCCAATTTGCAGGTCTTTTCCTTTCCAGTATACAAAAAAGCTGATTATTAATGTGAGACCTGGCACGTCAATAGGACCTCAGGGTCTTGTCAGCGGCTCCATTACACCATGTTTAATTCTGAGTGTAATGATTTCAGTGACAGCGCTGGGGAAGGATTTTCCATGATTGAATTGTGAGGACGGAAGTTGTGGCAGAGTAGTATTTCATCGCACTAAACAGCCCTTCTCACCCTGAGGAGTAAGCATGTTCTAGAGACCACCATCAGGCCAAGCTTGGAACACTCATCCATCACCATGCGTGGCTGTCAACGGCCAGGTCTAGGTGTGAAACAATAGGTTCCCCTGCATATGTTTACCAAAGTGTGTAGTGGCCGTGTAAAGACTTTCCTCCCCAAATTGCACAATTTTACATTAAAGGAAAATGAGATCAGGAAAAGAGAGACAAGCAATGGAGGATCCTGCAAACAATCCTCATTTTGTTTTTAACGATGTAGGGTTTTTTGTTGTTGTTCTTGTTGTTGCTAGACCGCCGAATAGATGCAAGGGTTATAATTACCAATTGCATTATTTCGCACCCACTTAAAATTGGTGCTGTCTTTTCAAGACATCTAAAAATGAGCATATGCCTAAGTGTTGGCTCTCTTTTGTACATTACTATTATTTCGTTTGCATATATTCATTGTCCACAAGGCAAAAAAGAATTTCACTACATTTTCATATAGTTTGTTCTGTACTTTGGCCATATCCACGACCATATTCATCTATCACCCATCTTGTTCTATTTCCCATCGCCCCCTGTTTTCCTCTAGCTCCAACTTAATTTTATAATACATTTTTTTTTTCTGCAAGTTTCCTTTGGGGCTGGAAAACACCTTTCAATCACTGGGCCCTCTAATGTTCAGAATGAAG